TATTGATGGAAGTTTCTTGAAGCAAATTAGATACTGCATGTACTTTAATATTGGAATTGAGTGATGTCCAAATATCCTAATATACTTATTACATGAGGTAAATTAAACTGATGGCTATGCGTTTTAATATTTTGATATTATATGTTATATAAGTAAACTTTTACTTAGTAGACAAAAAAAAAGTAAAGTAAGAAACTAAACCAGTAAAGAAAAACCAAGCTTGTGCATAAATGAGTTAAAAAGTTAGTTTTATTTTTTTAACATTTTACTGTAGCATTAATAACCTCTGCCCCTTGGTATGTAACCAACAAAAATCTCCACAAAGACCTCAATAATCCAACCCTCAACGACTTAGCCAAATCTCATTACATGAAATTCCACTCAAAACTTTGCGCTCATTTAAATCCACTTATTAAAAATCTATCCACTACCTTACTCATTCCTAGAAGGTTAAAAAGAAAATTGCCAAGAAACCTGCTCAATGCAAACAAAAAAATTATTAACTAACGAGAAAACTTTAAAAATAAATAAAAACAAAGCCTAATTTCTGGTCAGGTGGCAGAGCTGGGAGCTTTCCTATTAATGTTACTATTTTTATGTCAAATGTTCTTATGTCACCACACTCACTCATTATACCTTGTTTTGTATAGATTGTAAATATATTTTTTTTAAATAAAAAAAAAAAGATATAACAAGTTACTTTTAACGTATTCCAAGTTACGTTAATTTATAAACAATTAAATAATACAATTATTATACTCCTCTCTATTAACTCACATTGTTACTTATTATATATTTAAAATTATTTACTTATAATGTATTCATTTGAGTGTAAGCAAATTTGCGGCCAATGACCCACGTATAGTCGAGGCCTTGTTTCTTTATAATAAAAAAAAAAAAAAAATTATTATTAATGATGCATAGTTATTGCATGAACATTTACTTTTTATTATTTTAAACCACACAACTGGCTAATTATATATTAAAAAAAATTTAAATAACTTAACTTAAGTTAATAAATTAGTTGTAAGTTTTCGTATAACTTAACTGAGTTAAAAAAAAAAAATAGGATAACTATTAACTTTACACGTGTTGCCACCATTGGGTGACTTCCCGTTAATCCCCTTCCCGTTAATCATCCCCATCCCATTTCTAAATTACTTGTAACTTGTACTACATGTAATTACAGATAGAAAATAAAATTTTTTGTTCAATAAAAAAAAAAACAACTATTAACTTTAAACTTTTCAAAATGTTACAACTTAACACAATTAAAAATTATCATTAACTTGCCCAGTATTGAAAAAAAAAACTATAATTTTTTTCGAAAAATGTTATTTTTAAATACTTTATTTAAATCTAAATAATAAATACATCGTATAGGTATAAGTTTATAACATAATAGAATAGTATAATATGAAAATATATAAGACAGAAGACATTTCTATGATATTATATATTAAGTGATTTGTTTGATAATTATGATGACTAGGGCCCGGATTTTTATGCAAATGCATATTCTTCTACATTTGACTTAAAATAATTCTGATTAAATACCTATCTGGACGTCTTGTAATACGTAGATTTTGATAATATTATTTTTTTTTTTTTTGCATATTTTTGTATAATAAAGCATAAATGCATAATATTTGAATATTTCTGGATAATTAAATAAAATAAACATATTTTATGAATACTAAATAAAATATTTTAAATTTTACTCAAATTTTGATAATATATTATATTCATACATGTTGACATATCTGACCGAAATTTATGCAAATGCATATTCTTCTACAGTTCACCTAGAAATTATTTTGATTGCATATTTCTATATAATTGAATAAAAGTTGCATTTTTTATAGATAGTCAATGAAGTTTTTTATTTTTTTTTTTTGATTTACAAAATCCATATTTTTTTTAAATTAAATTTCCCGCTCTGATCATTGACGAAACAAGTTCGAGGCAGCACTCCTGTCCCGAAATATAAATATATTATGCTACGTGACAATCTGAGAAATTTCCAATTTGAAAATATAAAATCACATTTTGTAAGTTCATATTGGTACTCGTTGCAAAATTACTATTATTTTCCATTTCTCATTAATTTTGCATTGGAATTTTAACAATTGTAAGAAGTATACTGATATTTCAATTGTATTTTATTTCACATAATTTATTTTGTAATTTTTTAAGATTTATAGTTTTTTTTATTACGCAACAAAGGATTTTGCATATTTTTAAAAATATTTTTGAATTTTTGAGTGCATAAATATGTGCATAGTCAACATTAATTTTTGCATAAAAATCCGGGCCCTATAAGGTATTGTGATAACAGACGTCAGACAAATAAAATCTAAAATTATTAGACAACTTATTACTATTTTGTGTCGATTTTGGCGTGCCAGTCACTAGGTGAGATACACATACAAAATTATCCAATAGCCAATTTTCGAAATTTTGATGAATTTTGTCAGAATTACAAAATAAATGATAAATCAAAAAGTAAGTTTTTCTTTGCATAGCTAACATTAGACATTTTAATAGAACAAATTTTTCTCTTTTAAACAAAAAAAAATATACCAGGAAGTAATATTATTTTTTTATGAGTGATTGAATTAAAAATGTTTACGATAAGTACTGAATTTTGACTACCTAGTAAATTAACGAATTTTTATCTATAGATTTTTGATAATATTTTGTTGTAATTCAAAAACGAATAACCCTGGACACTTGAATTTTTCCCCTAATGTTCGAATGCCAATTTGCAAAATTGAAAAATGTTCAAATGAATTTGACTTTTTTTGAACTATTTATAGCTTAAATTTTTAAAAAATATTTTAAATTATTTTTCATTTAAAAATGTATAAAAGTTTTTCTTTTCATAGCCTAAAAATGTCACATAAGTCTTCTACCTATAACAAATAAAAAAAAGTGTACCTACTGAAACAGAACATTATTTTTATATGAGCGCAGTAAATTATCGAATTCCCATTAATTGATTTTTGATATTTATTGTTGTAGCCTTGTAGGTATTACTAAAACGAATAACTATAGACTTGAAATGTTCATAAAATATTTAAATTATTATTTTAAATACCAACATACCTATCATGAAATGTTCAAACTATTTGAACTATTTATAGCCATGAGAATTTTTCAAATTTTGTAATTTATTTTTCAGTTATAAATGTATAAAAGTTTTTCCTTTCATAGCTTTTCATTACACATTTTAATAGATGATGGTTCCCTACAAGTTTTTTTTTATCTCAGACAAAAAGAAAAAAGTTCACCAAAAATGTACGCGCTACCATTTCTCGACAACTATACTATACAGCAGGATTGTAGGAACCATTTGTTCTCTTTATTTATGTCTGTCATCATCGTTTGAGACAGTAAAAATGTTTGAATTTTCTTCAACAGCATATTTTCTTGTAGGAAAGTGAATCTAGTTAGTACTTTTGGTAAAAAGTAAAAATTCCAAATAGTTTTCAAAAGCGTCAGGAAGAACTGGGATTTTTATGCAAAACTATTTTTCGAAAAAAAAATCTATTTTGTTTTTTGTGGAACTCTAAAGAAAAATACCAAATTTAAATGACATTTTCGCTGAATGTTGTTATATATTACCAATTTTTTTACTGTAACCATACAACCTAAAAGATATAAAAGTACAGTAATTATTTACGTACATTTTCAAATTTAGACAAAATTACGTCATATTAAAACCAAGCTTAACCAAGCTGGTGTATTAAGCAAATATTTGTCTCAAACCCTGTTCATGACATCAAAATGATTTCTTACATAAAATATAATTATTTGAGCTTATCAGTGCTCTGGAATATGTATTTTTATTTTAAATTGTAAGTAAGCAAATTGTAGTAGGATGCCAAATTCTGATGTTACATATTTTGTAAATGACAACGGCAGATACAGACTGTAAAAAAATGAGGGGGGCAATTATAATTTATGTAGCTTAAAAAAAGAAGGTTCTCCATTAGCAGCCATCGCATTGCCCCCTTTGCTCTTTGCCCATGTCTTGTATCTGCTATTTGGTAAATTATGGTGTTGTTTCCTATTTAATGTGAAATTTGTATTTACTAACTAAAATTAGTAAACTATGCATTAAGAAATGTTGATATATGTATTTAATTAAAATCATCTATGAAAAATTTAAATTTTGAAAAAAAACTTGTGACATTAAAATTTAAAATAAGTCGTTTTCTTAAGATATAATTGTGTTTGACAAATAATTCCAATTAACATATTTAATTCAATAGGTTTTTAAATGTAATCATAGAATGTTTATTTCATTAAAAAAAAAAGATTAAAAAAATTCTATTTCTTACATTCACAGTGCACATTGAAAAATAGATTAATTATTTTTTTGTAAACAAATAATTTTTTTAGAAATAAACTAGTTTTATTTATAATTTAAATAGTTGATTGTATTTAATTAACTCATCTTCATGTTATAAAGAAAATAAATATAATATAATATAATAATTGTCCACTGTAGTACTTTCTATATTCTGTATTTTATTATTGGTATTTTTGGTTGCAAAATGTAAGATGTGCTAAGCAACAACATTAGGTATCTTGTAAGATATAGATAAAATACTTTTTTATTTTTTTTCATATCTTATCATTTTGTTTGTTTATAAAATTTATTTTTAAAATAATTATTTTTCATAAAAATTAATATTTAAATTAATTATTTTCATATTGATTAATTAATATTTAATATTTAATTTTTTAAAAAAAAATACAATTATGTTTACTTGTATAATTTTAATTTGTTAAATAAATTATTGATACTTCATTCTTTTATTTATATGTATATTAGAAATATCACCCACAATAAAGGAAATTCCCAATGTTGATTATATCAATGGTCATTCTCTGACAAATTAATAATTTGTCAGTACCTACAGTAACTGTTATTAGTAGTACACCTTGTTAATTTATTGAATTACAAAATAACTTTTTTTCTTCATTTTAAAATGAATTATTCTAATGAGGAAAAGATTAACATGTTAGCTTGCTACAACGAAACCGGGAGAAACTCTAGAGCTGCAACAAGGTTTATATATAATTATAAATTATGTATTAAATATATTTCTTTTCTTTACATTTGAGTATACAACATAATAAATAAAAACACGAATAACAATAATATGTATCTTTGAAAAAAAAATATTTGTACATCCAATATTTTATTAAATATGTATAGGTTATATAAAAATTGGTATCCTGATCGCCCTTGTCTGGCACATTCGCCGTTCTCTTATTTGTATAAAAATCTGCACGATTTTGGAGGGTTCCAGCGAACAAAACGTAGAATTTGTACGGTTACCAATGAAGAAAATTCATTTGCAGTTTTGGCCAAGTTCAGTGAAAATCCACAAATATCCTTGAGAGTTGTAGCAGGTACCTATCTTTATAAAATAAAATAAAAACATAAGTTAATCCTACATTTTAAATTTTAAATTTTAGATGAATTGAACATATCATATTCTTCTGTTCAAAAAATTGCGAGAAAATATAAATATCACGCATACCTGTATTCCCCTGTTCAATTTCTCCAACCAAATGACTATGAAAGGCGTGTTAATTATGTAGCTCACATCATGGTGGAATCAGACGAAGATCCACATTTTTTAAAAAAGATTATGTGGACTGATGAAGCAAGGTTTCACAACAATGGCACTGTAAATCATCATAATAATCACTTTTGGGGTGATTCAAATCCTCACCTTTTTAGTGAGACTCACAAGCAAGTGCGTTGGGGAGTTAATGTATGGTGTGGAATAATTGATGAGTTTTTAGTAGGTCCATATTTTTTTGAAGAAAATCTTAATGGAAACAGATATCTTGATTTCTTAAAAAAAGATTTGCCACTTTTGATGGAAAATATTCCACTTCAACAGCGTTTGGATTTAATATGGCAGCAAGATGGCGCACCAGCCCACAATACCCTAGCTGTACGTGCATACTTGAACAAACTTTATGGGAATAACTGGTTTGGAACCCATAGCCCCAAAATACAAAGGCCACCACGTTCACCTGATTTGAGTGTTCTGGACTTTTTTTTGGGGGGGTATCTAAAAAATGAAGTTTACAAAGAAGAATTAAAGAATGTAGAAGAGCTCAAAACAAAAATAAAGGAATGCTGCAAAAAAATTAAATCTTCAGTGATAAGTAAAGCTACATCAACTGAAGTGATTATTTTGTTTAGCCGAAAATGGCAAACAGTTCGAACATTTATTAAAATATAAATAATTATTAATATAGATTGCAATATTATTTAATATCATAATAAATTTTAAGTTATACATATATGTATAATGTATATTATTTGTATATTACCTTGTATCTAATTTATTCTTCTTTAAATCATATTCTTTATGTTTTTAAGACGAATAACATCGCTTTCATTACTTTATACCTAGAACACAAACATTTAGTAAATGCTATACAAATAGTCAATTAACAAAGATTAATGTATATTTTAATACTTACGAATTGGTTATCAAACACTTTAAATTGTGGTAATTACAAATTAAAAAACAATTAAAAGAATTAAGAAAAGAAATAAATAATAATAATATAACCATTCACCATAGTCCATTAACTAGTATATCGCATCATTTTATTTAATTGTTTATACTTTATTTTACTTTTACTTTTTACTTTTACTTTTTACTTTACTGGAACAAGATAAAGACTTGACCACGGTTATAACGTGAAATTGGGCATGGTACAACAAACTGATCCCGCGTAGTACCCCGCCAACGTTCCGGTAAACATTTTCATAATACAAGTAACCTTGGGTCTAACATCATGTTGATGTGTGGAAACGTTTCCATGTTTTTTGGAGGTTCCACAGATATAAAATACATCAACCCCCCCCCCCCTTAGTATTTTTTCAGTTTACGTAATAACGTAAAAATGTATAATAAAAATGATGACAATTTAAAAAAAGGTGGGCAAGTGGGTGTCGATCTGCTGTACAGTAGGTTACAAGTGGATCACTGTATAATGGGTGATATTAAATTTGAATTCAACGGTATAATATCATTGTATAAGAAAAACGATTCTGAGAGGAGACGGTATGTCAGTCTAGGTATAAGACATATTATATACATATCTATGGTACTATTGGTACTAAACCAAAATTTGACCTATAATAGGTACCTATAATAAATTCCAAAATAATCATATCACAGTATCCATTAGGTACTTATAACGCGTTATACATCAACGAAAACCGTGATACTATCATAGATATAATATAATAGTACACTCAGGGCCGCATTTAGGGGAGGGCGCTGGGTACAACTGCCCCGGTCGACAGTATTTTAGGGGCCCCAAAATTTTTTGGTCAGAAATTTGTTTACTTGTGAGTTATTAAAATTTTATGATTTTAATTATTTTAATAACAGTATTATATAATAATATAATTTGGTATAATAGTATTATATATTATATATAGTATTATGCTGTTTGAAATTTTTTTAATTAATATTAATTTGCATAGATTTGTATAATTTTATTTTATTTATTCATGAAGTACCTACATGAATATGTTAAAAAAAACAACTTATATGATGAATTATAAGCAAGGTTTAAGTGACATAAATTCAAATGCATCATTGCGGAGAGAGAATTAAGCAATTACTAAACAATATTTTTAAAAAAAGCACAATTTGTAAAACAAATATTTTTTTTTGTGCTCAAAATCTAAAAGGTTAATGAGGATCTTTTTCTCATATTTTAAGTGGACAGGCCCTTTAGGGGGGAGCAATTTTTTTCACCGGGGCTTAGGGGGCGCCAATTTTTTTTTGCACAGGGTTGCAAAATGTCTAAATGCGGCACTGAGTACACTTTAGAAGTTTCAAGTACCTACACATAATATTATTCAATCACAACGAAATAACTAAAATAGTTATTCTAGGTTTTTTTAATATGTAATTTCGTCTAAATTTGAATTTAAAATGTCTGTAAAAAATAACTGCGATTGTATATTTATTAGATTTTTCGGTAAGAGAATAAACTACTTACGTGGAATCTTGTTTTAAATTTTCAATCCTTAGCTATAAAAACTGAACATTTTATAATTTATTAATTACGATGGTTAATAATTTTCGAGATTTTGAAAAATTCTGTCAAAATTCGATGTTTAAATGCTTATAAAAAAAAATTGTGCCGATGTATTTTTAATATTTTTCAACTGATATTGTAACAATATATCAGGAGCCTTGTATTAAATTTTTACACTTTTTGGCCCAACAGATAAAACTTTATTGATATTCATAGAAAAAAAAACTAAAAAAATTGAAAAATGAAAATATCCGTAAACAGCTCAAAAAGAGTCAAAATATTTTCAAAATTGTATGGTGTATAGGAAATGCTAATATAAACATTTAGTGAAATTTTCATGTATCTATAGTTATTCGTTTATGAATAACAACAAAATAAGGAAATCGCTACATGAGAAATCGAGTGAACATCCAATGTTGTAAAAATTTGAATTTCAAACGCTCATAAAAATTTAATTTGACTGTCCGGTAGAGATTTTTTTATTGATAAAGGTAGTCAAACTTATGAGTAATCTTGTATTACATTTTCAAATCTTAGATTTAAAAAGAAAAATGTTTACGAATTCTTAACTCAAAATAATTTGCTAATTTTCGTGATTTTTCCATATTTTGTCAATTTTTGAACTTTAAATGCTTATAAAACAAAACTGTGATTAACATTTTTTAATATTTTTCATCTGCCTTTGAAACAATATACAGATACTAGGAGCCTTCTATTAAATTTTCAAGTTTTTTTAACCAACAAATAAAATTTTATCGATATCTCTAGAAAATAAACTAAAAAAAAATGAAAAATGAAAATGTCCCTAAACAGTTCAAAATAAATCAAAATATTTTGAAAATGTTATCGTGTATAGAAAATGCAAATATAAACAACCAGTGAAAATTTCATGTATCTACGGTCATTTGTTTTAAAGTTACACCAAAAACCAAATTCAATTTTCTGAAAAATCGATTTTGCGTAAAAATTCCCGTTTTTCCTTAATTTTTCTTTTGTTTTTCTTGGCGCTTTTGAAAAGTACTGGGAATTTTAAATTTTGACCTCCCCAATGCACCAACGATATTCACTTTCCAATCGAACAAGATACTGAAGTCGAAAATCGAAGCATTATTTTGACTACTTATCGTGTACACAGACACAAAAATAAAAAATGAAAAAATAAAAATAAAAACACACATCATTGTAAAATCAATACATTCATCGTTCCACTCAGAATCTAAAATATTATATTCCAAATTATACTCCATTATATTATAACTTATAAGCAACCCAGTTTGTTGTTATAATATATTGTAGATATTATTGATAACTTGTTACAAATTAATGAAATTATTGGGAAATTTGTTCAAACACAAACATGAGGGTCGACAATCGTGTAATCCGATATAATATGCCTTAATAGCTATCGCAGTATCGCTAATACAAGCATTTCAGTATTTTAATTGAAATTATAAAATTTGTAATATACATTCAAATTATATATATATATATTATGTATATTATATATCTACCATTCTTAACAAAGAATGCTCAAGCTTAAAATTATATTATAACATAAATACATAGGTAATTTAATTAAAATTGTTCCATTTTGACTCTCTACTTTCATATTTTTTATCTTGGAACTGTTTTATTGATTACATTGAGTAATGTTGACCTTTATACTTTACCATAAAATGTATTATGCTGTAGAGCATGCTGGACAATTGGATTTGGTTTGTTCTTTCACATAATCTTGTACATTAAAAGATCCTTTTTTTTCAACCCCTGTTTTTTTGAATAATAACTCCCTAAAATTGTAAAAGTAAGATACATATTAAAATATAAAAAAGGTATCTGGGTATATGATAAATTATCATAATTATAATTATTCATATATATTCTCTAGCTCCACTTTGTTACATATACATTTTTAGTATTTTTACACTCATAGGCAGATTGTATATGTATATATAATAATTAATAATTATGTTATAGTCTTATAGATACCTTGCAACAGCCATAAAAGCGATTTCGACATTAAAACCAGATTTAGCAGAAGTCTCCATAAAAGTGACTGAATATTCTTTGGCCAATTGTTCGCCGTCTTCTCTTTTCACCATTCTATCGTTTAGACTGCAATCAGCTTTATTTCCTAAATATAAATAGTCATTAGATTAAACTTAAGTACAATGCACATCTGAAATCAATAAGTAAAAAAAGGATTATAATTAAGTTTGGATATATATACCTATTAACATTATGACTACTTGATCATTAGCATAATCTCGAATTTCGCTCAACCAAGCTCGTATGTTGTCAAAACTTACTTTGTTAGTTACATCGTACAAAAGTAAAAGTGCTGTAATACAAACGTAAATTAGATAATAAATTATTTACCGTACACATTATACAATATATGCAAGCAGTATGCTTCTTAAATTAAAATAAAGCAATAATTAATGAGAAATGTTATTAAATATTAGCTTAGTTTAGAATAGGTACCTATTTTAATGCGGAAAGATTTAAGAAAATATGTGGTAAACACATTCGTACTTTTGAAAATAGGTTCATACTATGTTGAACAAATTAGATTTAAGAATTCATATTGACAGTTGATTATTTTATATTTCAGAAGTAAATAACCATACATTTAATGATAATTGATAAATTAAATAATAAATAAATACAAGTATATAGGTACCTACTTAAATTAGAATTTAAAATATTAATCCTCATCATATAAAAAACCTAATTCGAAATCTTTTTTAAAAATTTTATATTTGAAATTTAAGAACGCTGTGAAATGTAGAAGGTATAGGTATTACATTATGTTCAGTTACACAGTTTACACAGTATAACTCAGATTTCAGAATACCTAAGTCATAATATTATGGATGTGCGTTTTTTTCGCCAGATCAATATGTTATATTATATTGTTACTAGATTCCGGTGTTTGTCATCCCGCCTACGGCGGAAAGACTGTGTGGGCGGTGGTGCATCTTTGTCGGCTATGCTGGGTTTTTTGATCCAGCCTGCGGGGGGAAGGGGGGTCGTCGGGTATTATGTTTTGTCGTGTTGGCAGCACTTTTTAAGCGGTAATTTTTGAACTCGGAAGAGTGTCTAGTCGTAAGTCACGCGATTCAAGTCGATCGTAAGACACAGCCAGCCAGGTAGGCAATCCGACTACGTCGGA